AAGATGACATACCCGTTGCCGTTCTTGAACTCATTCATGAACAAGGATGGAGTTTCTTTCTTCAACTCCACGCCCCCGTTTACCCGGAACTTGTTCATCAATTTTATTCCTCATTAAGATACCATAAGCAAGACCCTTCCATTACCGCTGTTGTTGCCGGCAAAACCTTCGGATTCAACACCCAAAACCTTTCCGAGTGGTTCCACCTAGAGCGTCAAGGAGTCTCCTCTTATTGTAAAAAAGGGGTGGATTTCCGACTCACAAGACTTCAACGCGGATTTTTGCCTACGTGTTCTCAACAATATTGCTCTTGACCATGTCTTTGAGGACCCGGACTATTTCCTTCGTCGGCCCAATGTCCAAGACTTGACAACAAATCGTTTCATTCTTCTCAAAATCCTCAAGGAAAATGTCATCCCCGTCCTTAACAAAGATAAACAAGTTGGGATTTATGAGTGTACTCTTCTTTACCTCCTCCTCACTCACAAGAAAATCAATCTCCCATCCATCATCATCCAACACATGTACGAGAGCTCGGGTCGCCAAAACAAACCCTATGGCATGCTTCTTACCCACATCTTTGCCAAGAAGGAAATTCTTGAAGTGCGCCCGTCCCGCGTCCGCTATCTTGATGCGGAGTGCCTTGGGTATTGTGGCCTCGTAAAGATCGGAGAGGAATACTACATGAAGAAAGAATTCCAAAAGCTTGATGCGGCGACACGAGCGGAGTATGGTCCTCGGCGTTCCATGTCATCTTTGCCTTCCACTTCACGAGCACCCCAAGACGAAGCCATAGAAAATGCCAACACGGAAGTCCCCGTTCGTGCTCCTCGGGTCAAACACTCAAAGTCAGCGTCTCATGCTTCCTCGGCCTCTCTCATGCATCGTCACTCTCACATGGCTTCAACTTCCAAAAATCCCTTTAAGAAGTTCAAGAAATTCATCCTCAAGACCGTAGTGGCTCCGATGAGGAAACTTCAAGAAAGCCTCGATGACCTCTCGGATCGGATGAAGAAGATGGAGAACCGTGAGAATCGCCAAAAGAAAAATGAGGATCGAGCTTCTAGACGTCGTCGCTAAGTATTGAGCATTTGACAAAATGATCAAACATTCACTTATCTATGTTTTTTTTAAAAAAATTATTATGTATTTTGTTTTATGTTTCAAACTCCTATCATGTCTTATGTTTAAAAGTCGTACTAATGCACTTTTATGATTGTTAACCCCTTTATGATTATGCTTATGGTTCACTTGCATCCCTATGTGTTGAAACTCATGTTTTTGGTACCCCACCTTTTTGAATGTTGCCAAAAGGGGGAGAAATATTAGGCTTTCATATGCATACATTTAGGGGGAGTTTTTATCAAAATATCACGTGCATCAACTTAGGGAGAGTTTTAAAATCAATATATGCTTTTCACGATATGTTTGTGCGTTTGATTATTATATTCGAAATCATTATTTGTCAACATCAAAAAGGGGGAGATTGTTGGCCTTGAATGTCGTACCCCGTAACCATTTTGATGTGCCAAATAAGTCTTCCAATGCTACTAACATCATTTGCAGGATTAAACCAAACGCCAAACCTCTATTAGCTCTTTTAGCATCACCGAGATGTACTCCTACGAGCTTAGAAATATTTGTGTAAAGGTAACGATATATTATAATGACTTACTTATGCCCTTTCACTCAAAAAGTATTTCTAAACTATCAAATATATTCTTAGTTGGGTTATTTTGAAAACGGAACACAAAAACGAGTTTAGTAAAAATTGCACAGGTCTAACGGTACCTGGCTACCGTGTACACGGTACCAGGGTACTGCCGGTAGCCAAGTGAACGTACCGTTGTACGTTTCACCTGGGTGGTACACGGTACCCCCCTACCGTGACAACGGTACCTGGGTACCGTCGGTAGGCTGGGGAAGGTTGGCCAGACCGTTTGAACCTAGATACTGCCAGAGCCGAACCAATTTTATGGCTTAAACGGTACCCCCTAACGGTAGGCTGTACCGTGTGTCACGGTACCTAGGTACCGGACGGTACTGACCCTACCGTGAAGGGTACCGTATCCGTTGGCAGCACTGTAGCAAATTGCCAATTTAAATTTAAATCACCCCTAATCACTTCCTAACGGCATTTAACGTTAAAAACTCAAATTTTAACATTCCAAACTCCTATATAAACCCCCTCTAAGTCTCATTTTATGTACAACAACTTCTCAATTAAATCTAAAGCCTCTTTCTCTAATTCTTGAGTGTTCTTAAAGCTTTGTTCTTATTTTTCTTACTTCTTTGAGTAAAAAAAAGCTCTCATCTTTTTATACACTCACACACAAGGGCATTTGTGCTTCATTATTTTATATCTTGCCTATAGGCTTTTGTTATTGTTGATTTAATCTTTTGTTCTTCTCCTACCCAATTCATATTTGTTATTATTTTGGTAGAGAAGCAACACCAATCTTTTATTGATTTGTAAAAGGTGTGGATAGCCTTTAAATCCTCATTGTAAGGTTGAAGATAGCCTTAAAATCTTCGGTTGTAAACGGTTGAGAAAGCCGTAGTAAAATCTCGTTTGCTTATTGGCAAGGGTTGTTTGCCAAACCTCGTTTAAGTCTTCTTAGTGAAGCCAAACAAGTTAGTGGAGGTTAAATGCTTGAGGAGGAGCCTCGAGGTACTGGAGTAGGGAGTTCCCCAACCAGTATAAAATCGCTTGTGTCGTATTTTTATATTTTATATTTTTCTTGCTCTTTCTCCGCTACTACTTTGCGCATAAGTTTTTGTTTTTATTAAAAAAATTTGCAAACACCCTAATTCACCCCCCCCCTTAGGGTGTAAACCGACTTTCATATATATCATATATATATATATATATATATATATAATACTTAAAAAAAATTTGTGCCCTTAAAATATTTGGGCCCGGCCCGGACGGACACCTTGTCCCCCCATTGGGCCGGCCTGAAAGTGGCGGCCGCAGAAAGTTAGATAGTAAGGGGCACCTTGTGGGGGTCTCGATGCAACGTCCCTCGATTTTTTTAATATTGGCAATGGGAAACATTAAAATAATTACTCTGATGATGAATTTAATCTAAACCAATTACTCAAATTGTAAATTAAAAAGTTTTAAAAATAAAAATTAAGGGAAATTTCAAAATATTTTACACTTTATTTAAAACTAAGGGAAATTTCAAGATTTTCAATTCATTTTATTTGAAGATTGGTGTTGAAATAAGTAATAAAATTTACATATTTAAAACTACATCCAAAGTTATACAAAACAAGAAGTGACAATAATATTTTATTTTTTTTCAAATAATCAATCAAAAAGCATTAATAAATAAAGGTTTCCGTAAATTTTAAATAGTGAAGCGTGTAATTTGTTTTTGGACGGAAGGAGTATTTATAGTGTTTCACTTTAGATTTTATTTTTTTGATTTTTTTAATATTTTACTTTAACTATCAAGGAACCAACTCAACCACAAGCTCAAGCTTGTGGTTGTGGCCCAGGAATGATTGTTATATATACTCTAACACGCCCCCTCACGTGCAGGCGTGACCTCTTTGAGCCTTGCACGTGAAACCTTAATTTTTTTAATTTGGGTGACGGTGAGTTTCGAACTCGTGACCTCTTGGTCATCAAGGCTCCGATACCATGTGAAGGAACCAACTCAACCACAAGCTCAAGCTTGTGATTGTGGCACATGAATGATTGTTATATACTCTAACATTAACATTCTATTGTTTTAACTTAAATACTAACTTTTTGTTATTTTTCTTACTTAACATTGATCCTTTTTAGCAATAACATTTTTTATTAGCATTAATGTTCTGGCTAAAATTTTAATGGTTTAGATTAATTCTAAAAATGCTAGCACTGAAGACTAATATCAGATAACTTTTTCAAAATGCTAATATCTAATACTTTTAATTGAGGTTCCTAATATATTACATGGGGTCCTAATTATATAACTATAAAAAATAAAAGAATTAAAGCCTAACACCCGAGTATGAAAAAATTAGTAAGGGGGCAATGGCCCCGAACTAGGAATCTAGGATGAAATGAATCCGCCCTTTTATAGATTCCATGTTAGAGTGCCACCACATGGGTGCTACCATGGGTGCGTCCATGCTTCGCAAAGACAAATACAGACAATAATTGTCTGTGTCGAACACACAGTTATCGTCTGTGTTTGTCTGTGCGAAGCATGGGTGCACCCATGTGGTGGCACCCAGCATTTTCCTTTATAGAAATATAAAATCCCCATTTCTATAGAGTCCGATATTTTAAGATGCTTATCAATTTAATTACAGTATTTTTTTGAAACCAGCAATTTAATTATTTGACATTTCTAGAATTCAACTTTTGAATGTGTAAATACACTTCTGTTCTAATTTAACTACTCATTTTCTGAAATCCTATAATGTTTTCTCATTACCATAAATGGAAAAAATCTATTGCAATGACTTCCTCTGCTTCTTTGAATTGGTTCTAGTTCTCACGATTTACAGTATGTTCTTTAATGCTGGAAAAAAGAACTAGCTATTGTAATAAATTAAAAGAAACTAAAAAAAACAGGAAAAAAGTAAAAGAAACTAAAAACTATATAAAACTAGAAAAAAGTGGAAAAAGAGAAAAGAACCAGGAAAAACTGAAAAAACTTAAAATTATTGTTGTTACATATTATTCTTATTATATTGTTGTTAACATTATTGTTGTTATTATTATTAATATTATTATTATTATTATTATTAATATTATTATTAATATTAATATTATTATTAATATTATTATTATTATTATTATTATTATTATTATTATTATACCATCATATACAATAGGTAAAAAAAGGTGAATAACGACCACATCAATAATATACATGAAGTTTAATTAGAGACAAAGGGAATAGTATAATTATTATCTTTAATTTAAAATTTATACCATTAAAATTTTGTCGAAGAGGCTAATATTAATTGAAAACTGTGTTCTCAAACAAGGCCTAAGAATAGTTGGAAAAAAGTAGAAGAATTTTGTAAAAAAAATTCAAAGAAACTTGAAGAAACTGCAAAATCTTGAAGAACTGCAAAACTAAGAAAAAAAATTGGATGTTAAGAGTTTAAACTTTAAAGAAAAAGCTCTTACTAGTTACGGGAATACCTTCACTCGTATTTCATCCCAAAATCGTTCTCTTGTTACGCAAAATAAAACAAAACATCATGTTTTTTCAATTCATTTTATATAAGAATTTGTATAGAAATGAAAGATAAAATTTACATATTGTCATTACTCATTAGCAGCATCCAAGGTAGAAATCGTCAACAAACCTTCACCCAATTCTGTTCTTAACCTAAACCGTTCACAGCTTTTGTTTGAGCCAAGATTCCTCAACATACCAAACACAGAAACTGTGGCAAACGACAGTTTCAATTGATGCCATTACCTCCTCCCTTGGTGAGTAGGTCAGTCGATCCACTAGGTTCAATACCAGATTCATGAAATTAAGTAAAACACTCATCATCTAAAAACATTAAAATTATGCTCACAACAATGTGACGGGAAGAAAAGAGCAAAACAATAAGATAACACGAACTATTGAAATACTAAAATAAAGAAAAATTATAATTTTAGGAAGATCATGCATCAATCATCATTTGAGTACTATTGAAAATAGAGCAGCAAAGGAAGGAATAAACGAAGTACCAATTTGCAAACTAATCTCTAGCCTCAGGAAGCCATTGAGCATCGGAGTGGATTCGTAGGAAGTGTTTTACTGCAGAGAGAGAGTTTTCGAGTGTATTCTTCTCCTGCAGCCAAGCCCTCCTTTTATAGGAGGGAATTTTGGCTCTTCGCTGGACCATCGGAGATTACGAAGAGATGAGTGTCTCTTTGGTCTCTAGTGCATGCATGCTCATTACAACGACACCCACGCGTGTTTAATTCGGTCTCGTAAAAATTTACCCCCGCCACGCCCAAGCACGACATGCCCCGATGCGCGCATGAGGAGTCCTCTTCTTGTTCCTTTCATAAGCTCAATTAAAAGCCTAAGCTTAAATATGAGAATATGAAAGGTTCACAAACCGGTGTGGGACAAGGGTATTTACTCTACCCTCGTATTCAACTTTGAGAATTAATTTCTCATTCACCCGAGCACCGTTTATGGCGTGTCATATGTCAAGACGTTCGTCTTACTTACGAGATTGAACGTCCATAATTATTTTGGAAAATAATTTTGTAGACCCTACCCAATTTATGTCCGAAAAAATGTCCAATTTACTTAAAATTTCCAATAATAGGAACAATAAACGTGTTCCACTTGTGACATGCTTTTTCCAATATTATCACATGTAAGAAGCTTGATGGTAGGCAGAGATTCCCAAGTCCTAATATCATAAACCTCCAGCGGCTTCGTTTTGCAATTCGTTCGTACGCGCAACTTTGCGGACATGTAAGAGAATTAGTTGCCCCACCGGCGCCGATGAGGCACGACGCATCGTCATCATCGATTGGTTTTCCGCTGTAGATTTTAGGGTTGGGAGGATTTTTTCATTCTGAATCCAAAAATATAAGATTGAAATTAAAGTAAGTTATGCAGTTGGATTCAGTTTCACTTTTTTAGGTTTTTAAAAATAAAAATTTATAAAAATCAAAAAAATTATAACAACACTATGAAGTAATAACAATTTGTAGGGCTACGTTTGGTTTTTATAGAAAATCGAAAACCAAGTGGAATGTTAAGTTCGATTCAATCTGATTTTACATGAAAACTATGTGTCGGATGTCTAACAAACATCTAGACAATTCCAATACTCTCAAAGTCTTCTTATGTAAATATTAATTACAAAGTATTTTTATTTTTGATATAATATTTTTTATTTCATCATAATATCAATGTTTTTTCTTGTAAATATGTAACTCGTATCAATTTTTAATATAACTTCGTATTACAATTAGTTATTTGTGTTTCATAGTATGGTTTAAAATTGAGTAAATTCTCAAAATGGTCATTTATAATAAAGTATTTTTCCAATTCAGTCCTTAATAGATTATAATTACCTACGTGGTCATTTATAAGACCATGGGGAGTGCTCCATGGTTTTCCCTTTTCCCCTTCTTCCAACACAGCGCCACGTCAATTTTTTCTTTTCCTTCCCTTTTCCTTCCCCTTCAATGGAAATGCCTTCCCCTTCACTTTTTATTTTTATTTTATAACACTTAAATTATATATTTAAATTAAATTAAGAGTAATATTAAAATTGATATATTAAAGTAAGTGATACACAATAAAAAATAATGACATACAATTAATATTGGGAATAAAAATGTTAACATAATTCATATTTAAAAAATAACTTCGAACCTAATCATCGGATGTAATTGGTGGAGCAAAATTCCACAAATGCTCTACCTAATCGGTCCGTAAGTGTCGATGCGTATTTTGGTTGCGTAATTTAAACGAGTTCAAGTCTTGTTATGCAGTATCCACCGGCTCGACGTTTTCAGGAACGTCATTCGGATCATAGTCGCATATCGCATGCCCTTCATCTTCGAGGATCATAATATGCAATATAAGACAAGCATACA